TTTTTATATCTCATATATTGATGAAAACATGCGTAGCAATTTGTATAGCTTGTTAACCCAATAAAAACATACGTAGTAATTTGTATAGCTCGTATATCTGTAAACAATGTGTGATATCTCTTTGGGATAATAACAAAGATAACTTTATTTGAAACATTCCTGGATCTTATGTATAAGGGTTATAAGACTAGTTAGAAATTAGTATTAACAAGAGGCCAATGACCTTGAGGGCTGAATCGCCTTATGTACTTAACTTCTTTACTTTTGTGCTGGGATGCACAATTATCGTATGATTTATCATGATAATATATTATAGTAATTTTGGATTGCATTTTAAATCTCTGACCTCATCTAATCATCACCAGATTTTTCATGGGGGTGGGGTTAGGGTTACACATTAACCTTGGATCTAATGGTGGCTGAGATGAAGAAGGTGGAAGCACAGCAAACATAAAAGGAAATCACCATGGAATCCTGAAGATCTGACAAAGTTCAAACTTTCACTTAACCAGTTTAAACTAATTGTCTATGACACGGACCTTTCTCTCTCCACCTGAAGACACCAGGAAACAAAAGGGAGGGTCAGGGGACCTTGTCCTTATCCTTTGGGTATATAAGCAAACTGAAAATGGGAAACTAAGCTTTTCTACTTGTGTACAAGGCTGGGCTGCATAAGCCAAACATTGTAAATATTTCATCAACTCATTGGTCAAATAGTTACTTTATCCTGTATATAATTATTATTCTTATCATTATTATGATATCATATATATGATATTAAAAAATGATACATAGTCATCATATTATGTAATATTATATAACGATGATGATACAGTTACAAGCCTTACAGCTATCACCCAAACCTGATAGTCTTTCTGATTCTGATTTTCAATACTGCTGTAGTACATATATACACAGCAAAATTGATGAGAGCAACACTGCTAACTTTTGCATGGATGTAGTTGTATTGTACAGTAAATTAACAAGCATACTGTGTAAATGTTCCTTTCCACAGAATTAGGTTATCAGTTATAAAGTTTCTAAAAATAGTAACAGTGACCTAGTCCTTGATCCATCAAATCTGATACTAAGACTTTGTCTATATGTGTTTGATCAAAATCCCTCAAAGAATGAAGACGCTAGAGTGCTGACAGTCTTTTACAGACAACAAGGACAGAGAAAAACAAAATATATAGCCCCTCCTCCCTTTACGATGAAATTAGTTGAAAACCCTATGATAGGATCTCCAGACAAAATTCAAAAGAAAAAAAAAAGAACAAGTGAATTATGTCTGCCAGTCTAAATGTCACAGGAAAAACAGAACTAAAAGCATTAAAATTTTCACAGTGATTGGTCATAACTGAGAGATATCTCTAGATAAAATTAAAATTCTGAAAACAAAAACAAACAAACAAAAAAAAAAAACTCAAAAACAAAGGGCAATAACTCTTCAAAAATAATTGAATCAAAATACTATGGAGAAAAACTTTCATATCACAGTTACAAGTCTACAAAATTTCATAGAAATCCTTAAAATCAAAATGCCATACCGGAAAATGAAAATTTATGTAATGATTATAAAGCTACAAAAGCCTACCCTCTTTTAGAGAGATTGTTGAGAAACTAAGGGGGATGACCTGACAAAATGCTGAGGAAAAAAAAACCAAAGGGCATGTGACTTCTTCAAAGATAACTAAATCAAAATGCTGTTCAGGAAAAGGCAATTTTATATCGTAGTTAGTAATCCTATCAATTAATTTCAAAGAAAGATTGATTGAAAATAGATAAAAGAGATCTGTTAACAAAAATTCAGATTATGGAAAGAACGAGGGTGGTAACGGTCCCCAAAACTGCTGAATCAAACTGTCATTCAAGAGGACAAAACTTCATGTGATGGTGATTAAGTATACCATCCTTTGATAGAGATCAGCCAAGGAGATTCCTGGACAAATGCAAGTTTGCATCGGACAATGTCATACCAAAATATTTTTGATGAGCAGATGAAAAGCCGACCAACAGATATACCAGAAGAGATGAAAAGGGAATGGATCAATATGGAATGTGAGAAGTGAACCAAGATTTACTGAAAGTCTCTCTAGCTTTAGACAGAAGATTTAGTGTGAACGCTGACAGGTGCCCCATTGTGTTAACTCCCCATAACCATGAAAAGTCCATCTCTCTATATCGATAAGGTTGACGAAACATTCACGAAAACAACCCACCCCACCCCGTCCTGGAACAACCAGGGTCATTGTAAGAGATCATGTGGATTATTTGTTGTCACATGTCAGAGTGACATGAATGGGCCAGAGATTCTACATATTAGTATAAGACAGGATCCAGACAAGAGACAGACAGGCCAGGATGTCTACAGCCTAACCCATGGAGGGGTGTAGAGAGCAAAAGTATCGAAAATGCCCCTTCACCTGTTCATACAATCTCTGAATGCATGAAAAAAACTGTAATGTAGGTTAAAATTCACGCAACAGCACATGTTAAGAAATATATTGCCTCAGTATTCAGTGCATCCCTCAGCAAATTTTGAATACTGTAACATATGGACACTCTAAAAACAAGTTTCATGTCATTCAAGGTGAAATACATAATCACAATACAACTCATCATTGTAGGAATGACATAGATACTCTGAAGCTTTCAATCTAAACATAAACGGCCACATCATTAATAGAGTTTATCAACATCAACACATATGTTTCATGGTAAATGTCATAAATACTGTATAACTACCTGGCAAAGTTACCTTGCTGAAGTTGACCTGCACCCATGACCAGAGGTCTGTAACCGTAGTGGTCTGTGGACTTTTTGTTACTAATTACTTTTGTTGATATACAAACTATAAAAATCTACAACATTCGACCTTGCCCTTTAACCTAGGTGACCTTGACCTAGGTGACCTTGACCTTTCATCAGTTGATTTCCTTCTTTGATTCTGACAACTTTTGTTTTATAATGTCATAACAAAATGGCTATCAGAGTACCTTTGATATTGACTTTTTGCTTCAGTGTGTATTTTTGTGAACCAAACATCTTGACAGACAGACAAACAGACAGACAAACAGTATCCCTCTCACACCATAACTTTGTCAGGGTTTGGGGTATAAATCTATAACATCTTAATTTGGGTACCAATCAACAAATACCTTATAGGTAACATATTTCCTTCACACTAAAAATACACACATACCTACACACAAACTACACATACATACCTATACACGGAACTACACACACATACCTACACACAAACTACACACATATACCTTATATATCTACAACTATTTGGTAGCACATTATACCACATCAGTATCCATGCAGGACTCCGGACTCAGACAACAATGATTAGTGGAGAATAAAAACTCCCAGATAAACAAATCCTTTGGTGGGTGGGAACATCACTTGAGGAATTTTCTAAAATATCACAATGTTTTATATTGTATGTAAACAGGCTAGACTTTTGGTAAAATGTAGGAAATAATTTGTGACAAAGGACAGCCTTCCTCTGTGACAGAGTTTGGTACCAATGAGGATCATATCAGAAATTCCTATAGATAAGTAAACACATAAAAAACCTTTCAAATTATGGAGAGATGTTACACTGGGCTTTACATTCCTTGATTTTGTTACCAGTTGTATTCTTATTAACAAAATTCACATTTCCACCAAGTAATCAATTTGACACAAGTATTTAGAGACTGCTGGTGAAATTTATGAATCTTTCAACAACATGAAGTGACCGTGAAATTTTTAGTTTGCAGAAAAATACAGAAATTTGAATAAGAAAATAAATGTAAAACACAAAATAAAAACAGTGGCCCTACACTGAAATCTTCTCCTAACCACAACCAATTTCATACTTTAATTTTATCATTAAGATTTTGAAGGTCAAATACAAAATAGTTTACTCTGATTAAGCATGTAAAATTACACAATACTAACAACATGATAATATACTGGATATTAGCATCATCAAACTGGAGATATAGATCCAATGAAAATGACATTTCACTTTCTCCACATTTGTATGACAACTTTGGAAAAATCAATTAATCTGAGGTTAATGAGTTTTCACTGTAGCTATGACAACCTGGATGGTAAATGGCATTTCATTGTATCTAATCTATGACAACCTGTGAAATATTAATTAATCTCAGGAGATTGACATTTCACTGTACCTATGACAACCTAGGAAATATTAATTAGTCTCAGGTGAAAGACATTTCACTGTATCTATGAAAACCTAGGAAATATTAATTAGTCTCAGGTGAAAGACATTTCACTGTATCTACGACAACCTGTGAAATATTAATTAATCTCAGGAAATTGACATTTCACTGTATCTATGACAACCTAGGAAATATTAATTAGTATCAGGTGAAAGACATTTCACTGTATCTACGACAACCTAGGAAATATTAATTAGTATCAGGTGAAAGACATTTCACTGTATCTATGACAACCTAGGAAATATTAATTAGTATCAGGTGAAAGACATTTCACTGTATCTATGACAACCTAGGAAATATTAATTAGTATCAGGTGAAAGACATTTCACTGTATCTATGACAACCTAGGAAATATTAATTAGTATCAGGTGAAAGACATTTCACTGTATCAATGACAACCTGGAAAATATTAATTAGTCTCAGGTGAATGACATTTCACTGTATCTATGACAACCTGGAAAATATTAATTAGTCTCAGGTGAATGACGTTTCACTGTATCTATGACAACCTGGAAAATATTAATTAGTCTCAGGTGAATGACATTTCACTGTATGTATCTATCTTTGTAAATTTGTTTCCACACTGTGTACTCTAACAAATCTACTTCTATTTTCTCCCTGTATGATTCACTGGTTTCCTTAGCAACCAATGAAAGTAATACATAGATATCATAACAATCACATCACTATGGAAACTATGCTATTGATGCTTCCATGACAACCAAAATGTTGGATAGCTGCCAACAAGGTAAGTCCTCACCAAACTTCACATTTCTCTTTTGGATTCATCCGGGACCCTGTTGGACACTTGAACTGCTCTGCAAACTCTTTTGAATTCGAAAGCGTGCCAATAACTCTACAAAAGACAGGAAGAAATCATCAATACTGACTTATTATTCTAGCAATACACAGACCATATCTGGTATCACAAAATTAATGCCTGAAGCTGGAAGGAGCTGACAAAAGAAGTTAGTACTCTCCAGAAGAATGTTACTTCTTATTTGACAGACCGATCCCCAACTACAGTACAACTATATGCAGCAAATGGTGTTTTGACTGTAACTACAAGTATTTCAGGGATATCAAGTTGTAAAACTTCATGCTGTTCTATACCTTCATAAAATTAATTCTAATCACTATAAAAACTCTTGTTAGCATCAAAATATCTCTCCCGTGGTCAGTTTGGACAGGCGAAATTGGTTGGAATACTCCCAGCCAAACCGTCTAAGTATAGGACATAGCGAAATCCTGAACGTAAAGGTCACTGTATCATAGATTTTATGCAGAGTATTGGGTAAACACACAAGTGTGTCATTAAAAATTTTTGCCTGGATTTCAGTTTTATGGCATCATTAGGCTTACTTTCTGTTAATTTTATAACTTACACAAATATTTCATTCTGTCTATTCATAATCATGCAAACTTGTTATGATGAAATCAGGGCGACAGGAACGTTTGTAAATCGATCTAGCTAGATCTATAAAGAATTTCCGCAAATTAAATACCATCTGTTTGTTTAAATGGTTAATTGAGGTATACAATATCCATGAGAACATAAGTAGATGATTTTGTACAGTTTTCTTCAAAAGCATCCAGTGACATCCTAACTTGTGCAGAATATCCTTTTAATGTGTAGAAGTCCAAAAGACCTCATTTCTATCACTATTATAGTGTTGTCCTTGTTTACATATCAAGTCTACACACACCAGTCAATGAAATGCAACCCTTATAACCTGATAAACAATATATTCCCAGCCCCACACCATCCTCAATACTCCAGGTGTTACAATCACTTTCGCTCTCTGCACCCCTGGAACCATCCTCAATACTCCAGGGGTTGCGATCACTTTCTCTCTCTGCATCTCTGGAACATGTCATGGCAAAATTGGTGGTTCCATGTACAACACCTTGTAGACAAGACGAAAAAACTAGTTTGATTCTTTGATGTACATCAAACCAATCTTGAGGTCACATAACAGTTTTTTGTAATGGCTTCGAAGTTGGGTGTCGCTCCTTTGTAATCTTCAAAACGAACGTATCAGCCTGTAATTGGTCATTTTTTTTCTTCTTGAACCAATCAAAGTACTTCCCTTGTACGTTTTAATTTCCATGACATGTTCCAGTGGTGCAGAGAGCAAAAGTATCGAGAATGCCCCCTAACCTGTTCAACAATATATTGACAACCCCCTCACCTGTTCAACAATATATTGACAGCCCCCTCACCTAATCAACGAAAAATCATCTGCCCTCTTGTCTGATCAACATTAAAGAGAAAACTTCAATCATCCTTCGATCAACATTAAACTGAAAACCTCTTCCCAATCAACAATAAACTGACAATTCCCTCCCCTGATCTACAATTGACAACCTGCTTCCCAATCAACAATAAACTGACAGCTTCTCATTCAATTCAAAATAAACTGACAATTCCCTCCCCTGATCTACAATTGACAACCTGCTCCCCAATCAACAATAAACTGACAGCTTCTCATTCAATTCAAAATAAACTGACAATTCCCTCCCCTGATCTACAATTGACAACCTGCTCCCCAATCAACAATAAACTGACAGCTTCTCATTCAATTCAAAATAAACTGACAATTCCCTCCCCTGATCTACAATTGACAACCTGCTCCCCAATCAACAATAAACTGACAGCTTCTCATTCAATTCAAAATAAACTGACAATTCCCTCCCCTGATCTACAATTGACAACCTGCTCCCCAATCAACAATAAACTGACAGCTTCTCATTCAATTCAAAATAAACTGACAATTCCCTCCCCTGATCTACAATTGACAACCTGCTCCCCAATCAACAATAAACTGACAGCTTCTCATTCAATTCAAAATAAACTGACAATTCCCTCCCCTGATCTACAATTGACAACCTGCTCCCCAATCAACAATAAACTGACAGCTTCTCATTCAATTCAAAATAAACTGACAATTCCCTCCCCTGATCTACAATTGACAACCTGCTCCCCAATCAACAATAAATTGACAACCCCTCCATCTCCAAAAATATTCCTGATACTCATAAAATCAATATTCTTGCAAATTTCAAATGCTGAGATTGGTGTTATCAGAAACTGATATTTTGTTTTGAAGATTGTGCTCACTAGCATACCAAGTATGAACCAGTAACTGACCTCTTTACAGTTTTACTGACCTGAACTTAGCTGGACTGTGGGAGTCACTCAGCAGCTGTAGATGGTCAGCCTCTTTTAGACTTGTAGAGCACCACACCTGTAAAATAACATCAAGGAGGATTAACCTTCCATTCCTAGCTGTAACAACATATATTTTGCTAATACACTATAGAAATCGCTTCAATCTGAAATTCTCCATATGCTAACCCAATACAAGTTATGTTAAGATGTCACAGCAAAAATCAATTTTTCACAAAGCCTCTTATCTGAACTTTTCTCCAAACTGAGCAAATTATTTTGTCCTCCACTGTGTATTTAAGAATATCAAAATCAATTAATACCATAACAATACAAGTACACTATATTTCAGAGAAAATCTAGAGATCTGATTGGTTTAAAAGAAGTCCCAGAGGCCTCTTGGTGCCAACCATTACATGTCCTTAATTGCTAACTATGTCAGGTGGATATTTTCTCTTCATTGCTATCCTCTTATTTGGTCTTTTGTCCTCAATTTATATTTTACTAATTCTGTCCCAAAATTCATCATGTACGATTAAGGAACACAGGAAGTCAATATATAAAATTTAAGAAAGATCATACATCAACATTATGATTTTCAGGGAAAATAACTAATTCTTTTAAGTATGTTAATTCATTAGTTTTTTCACTTTTTTTTTTCTTTCCTAAATAATTCAAAGGACAGATAGCAAGAATTAACAAAATATTTTTGTGGATTAAAGTTTCTGACCAATTACATGCAAACAATCCATAGATGATCAATCTGTACCAATTCTAGACCTTAACTGTCAGAGAGACTGACCAATAAGGAATAGTGGTGATGTTATCATTAGAGGTAAATCTGCTAGAAGCATACTTCGATCACACAACGCCTGGTGTTTCATTATTTAGTTGTATCTGGTGGTATAAGAGTTGCTCCATTTTGTTTGACAGGCAAGCAAGCTTTTTCTTCAATTTGAAACCCATGCACAAAGAAAAATACTCAAGTGACGAGACTGTAATACCTGAGAGAAGCCAAGAAAGAAGAGCTGTTTGTGTGTGAGGTTAACAGCCGGCAGGGGACGCTCCTGTTTATTGTGTGATATCCAATCTGTATATGCCTGTTCAACATAAAATTCATATTTCTTAATATCTACTTCTTTTAGTCATTCACAATGGATACACGACAAATAACCAAACCTATAAGCTACAAAAATAATAATTTTGTGGTAACATTTCTAGCTGAAAGATTTCTGATGAATTTGAAAGTGATATTTCACTGAGCAAAACCAGCAATCAGTAATCAAAATGAAATCAGCTATTTTGTTTTTTCATCAGTTGTCGTCCTGTTCCATCATTGCATGTTACGTGAAATGAATGATGATATTATTTTTTTCTTAAAGTTGTGAAAATCAAAATTAAAAAGAAAAGTCAAAATGTAAATATACAAAGATAATTTTTCCTCTTTGTTGTTTATACTGTTGTGTGAATTGCCTATTTCGTTTACAGATATTTCACATAATAGTCCAACACTGATAATTTAAAATATCTGTTAAAGATATGTAGTTTACACACCAGCAAACAGCATAAAAGAATTTTTTTTCCTTCAAAAACGTTTCAGCCATGTTATTACAAATAAGGTCAAATAAACATCCTAGCAATTTGGTATTTGTAACTAATATAACTCAATAAACCTTTCAAATTCAGCTTTAGCTAGATTGTGTACTAATGTTGAACTCATATATATCTCACCAATATTAAGCAATATACCAAACTTGGCTGAAATGCACCAGTAAAACTTAGTTTTCTTTTTTTTTTTTTTTTTTAATGAAAAAAATAGAGATCTTTCTCAAGGATTTTAAAAACCTGTTAATTCTTGCAAATGCTGAACTTATATAAAGAAATAAATCAAGTAATTACATTTTTGCCAACAAAAGATTGGAATTTATAAATCTGATCAAAAAAATGTACATCATTACTGCAGAAATCTAATATCTCTTGTAATGATATAACTTTTTCCAGTGATGATATAATGTTCATAATTTTGACCAATCAGAGCAGTGCTATTAATATTCAATGCAGTGAAATTTGCTAACAAAAATGGAAATGTTTTGCGAGCAATTTTCATCAGGTAACAGCATAAAATTGCAGAATACAGCCTCTTCAAAATACCACTTTAATGTTTTGTTTGGATCAGCTTCTTTCTTTATTTAAATTTCTTTTAATATTAACAAAATGTACACATAATTATTCTGTTATGCTTGCAAAATATGAATGATATTCATTGTATTAAATTTTTAGGAATCTCAGTTCAATCGTACCAGTGAAACCTAAGGTACCAGGGGTGTAATGGGAAGAAATTTAAACACCAATAAAACTTTTGAGATCCTTTACCTGTGAGGCATCTGTTCACAACGTTTTGTGAGGAGTGGAAGCATCCTCAGATGGAGTGTTGTCAGTACCGTACGGGATATTGGTTTGTTTTGTAAATGATATCGAATATCATGTTCAAGTTCTGAATGAAGCTATGTTACATTGTTTTAGCATAGAAAATAGTCTCTCAGAGTCAGCATTGCTTAAAAGGCAGCATCAGATAAGCCGTCAGGCCATAACCAGCACTTTCAGCTTAACTGTGTTTTTCAGACCCACCATGTCTTTTCTAATTATGTAGACCACTAAAACACATCTTAACCCAATGGGATAAAGCTCCAGTATGTTCATGATTTTATAGAGTTTAATCAGGGGCGGCTGCTGCAATCTGGGGTAAATTTGACCCTGATTTTGAAGATGTATCAAATTGGGAATTATATGACTAAATTTGTTGATTTTCCGAGGTTTCCCCGAAGAATCTGGGATGACTGACATACCGAGTATCACTTCCAGTGCTTCATCACTACCTCCAGACTTACATGATATGACTAAACTTGTGGATTTTCCGAGGTTACCCCCCCGAATCTAGGATGATTGACACACAGAGTGTCACTTCCAATCCTTCATCACTACCTCCAGACTTACATGATATGACTAAACTTGTGGATTTTCTGAGGTTACCCCCCCGAATCTGGGATGATTGACACATCGAGTGTCACTTCCAGCCCTTCATCACTACCTCCAGACTTACATGATATGCAGATTTCAGTCCTCCATTGTCAGCTATATTCTCTCCTAGTGTAAGCTTCCCTTTCACCTGTCAAACAGATAAAGTACTTCATCAAACATCCTATATCAATGTCCATACTATGACCTAGCAGCTATATAAAATAAACAAGAGGCCCATGGGGCCTTTACAGTCATCTGATTATAAAGATTTAAATGTGATATAACAGCAGTGGTAATAGTAGGAACAGTTATTCAATGATTAAAACAATAAAGGCAAAAACACTCCTCATTTCAGTTTCAGGTTTCCTTAAAATCTCAGCTCCATTGCACCAGTAGAGTTTGAATAGAAGTTAAAAATGTGGGGTTTTTTTTTTCAAGATTTTGGCCATATTGGCTTTTGCAACAACCTTCAAAATATCCCCACTCAGTCAAGACCATCTCAGGATCATTCCAGGCAAATTTCAGTTCAATCCCACAAGTGGAACTTGAGAAGTTTAAAATAATATGTAAAAATAAGAATGATATGTGATAACAAAGTTTTTCCTGTTACACATATTCTGAGGCCTGTAATGGATAAAATATGAGCAGAAATATATTGATTTTTTGGTTTTAAACTACTTCCTCAAATCAAATCTTTTTAAAAAAAATTATTAGGAAAAAATGTCTAATACTGAATTTGTTTTACTTCTCAGAGGAGTACATCCCAAACCATGTACCAAAACACATTTCTTTGACAGGGTTGCATTTTAGATAAGAGTAATATACCAATATACTCATTAACAGTTAACATATACCAGTGATACTCATACGTAATGATAAAAAGAAACAAAACAAAAACAGTATATTCCCCAGTAAATACAAAAACATTAAAACTTAATATCCATTCCATCAATAGTCATAAAACTGTTTTGTTTACATTTAAGAGTTTGAAAACTTGCAGATTCACCTTTGTATATTGTAACTGAGAAACGTCAACTTGACACAACAACAGACACAGCAACAGACACAACAACAGACACAGCAACAGACACAGCAACAGACACAGCAACAGACACAGCAACAGACACAACAACAGACACAACAACAGACACAGCAAGAGACACAACAACAGACACAACAACAGACACAGCAACAGACACAGCAACAGACACAGCAACAGACACAGCAACAGACACAACAACAGACACAGCAACAGACACAGCAACAGACACAGCAACAGACACAGCAACAGACACAGCAACAGACACAACAACAGACACAGCAACAGACACAGCAACAGACACAGCAACAGACACAGCAAGAGACACAACAACAGACACAACAACAGACACAGCAACAGACACAGCAACAGACACAGCAACAGACACAGCAACAGACACAGCAACAGACACAGCAAGACACAGCAAGAGACACAGCAACAGACACAGCAACAGACACAGCAACAGACACAGCAACAGACACAGCAAGACACAGCAAGAGACACAGCAACAGACACAGCAACAGACACAACAACAGACACAGCAACAGACACAGCAACAGACACAACAACAGACACAGCAAGAGACACAGCAACAGCTTTAGGAGTAAAAGTACACCATATAATAAGAAAGAACCTAGGTCTCTCACTTTCTTTTTAACAATTACATTCAATTAGTCACATTTTCTTGTCTATACCTACAATTTCCCCATTAAGCTGACAATATTGTGCTGTCTATGCCTACATTTTCACCATTCAGTGAACAACATTGTGCTGTCTATACTTACATTTTCACCATTCAGTTGACAACATTGTCCTGTCTATACTTACATTTTCACCATTCAGTTGACAACATTGTGATGTCTATGCCTACATTTTCACATTCAGTGAACAACATTGTGCTGTCTATGCCTACATTTTCATTATTCAGTTGACAACATTGTGATGTCTATGCCTACATTTACACCATTCAGTTGATAACATTGTGATGTCTATGCCAACATTTTCACATTCAGTGAACAACATTGTGCTGTCTATGCCTACATTTTCATTATTCAGTTGACAACATTGTGATGTCTATGCCTACATTTTCATTATTCAGTTGACAACGTTGTGATGTCTATGCCTACATTTACACCATTCAGTTGACAACATTGTGATGTCTATGCCTACATTTACACCATTCAGTTGACAACATTGTGATGTCTTCACTTACATTTTTACCATTCAGTGAACAACATTGTTCTGTCTTTACATACATTTTCACCATTCACTTGACAACATTGTGCTGTCTGCCTACATTTTCACTATTCAGTTGATAACATTGTCTTTTCTATACTTACATTTTCACCATTCAGTTGACAACATTGTGCTGTCTATACTTACATTTTCATCATTCAGTTGATAACATTGTGCTGTCTATACCTACATTTTCACCATTCAGTTGACAACATTGTGCTGTCTTTACCTACATTTTCACCATTCAGCAAACAACATTTTCCTACCTGTACTTACATTTTCACCATTCAGTTTGTACTGAGAGTACTGTTTCTGCATACATTCAGCTCTCTCCTTAAATCTAATCACTGACTGGTTATTCCACCAGGGTCGAAGGTTTCCATTCTTGTCATATTCTCGTCCTGGTAAAAAAAGGATTACGTTACAATAGTCTTCTTTTCCTATCTCAGAACATTTAGCTCGGGTTGTAACCCTAATGATGAGATGTTCCTGCAAGTTTATTGGCAGTTTTGCTGCAGAATCAGTAACGGTAATAAAATCATAAGACTTTGTGCTGTTGCAAACTTGGCGACTAGTGTGAGAGGATGGAGGTCACTGTGAAATCAGCCGAATTTTTCCCTAAAAGGTAGTGGATACACAATACACAAACAGGGGACACCACTGTGGCCCATTGTGAAATACAATGGTTCCATTATAGTTACAATGTTTCCAGGTGTCTTTCAGACTTTCTAGGACCCCTAGAATTCATTTCACAACACATGGTATCTTTCACTGATGTCGAGAGCTAGACAGATTATGGCAAAAGAACACAATTTTCAGAGCAAAGGCCTCATGGATTTACTGTAATTTAAACTTACAACATATTTCATTTTACACAATACTATCTATTATCAATGCTTCAACACAGAGACAGGCAGCCTAGAGTCTCCAGTTGTTGCTGACTAGTTTATGGAACAATTAGAGAAAGAAACAAAATCTACTGCCCCCTTAGATAGCATGCAAGGCTAATTTATAGGAATTATAGATTGATTACAGTAGTATCGGAAACAGTCAAAAAAGGGTCCTCAGGAAGATTTGGCTGTGTACAGTTGTATATCAATATCATACTAGATATAACCGACAGCATCAAATTCACATGCTGGGAAGAAATCATTGGCACTATAGGCCCTTCACCTTGCTTGTATGGAAAGATCACAGCACAATTAAGCTATTTCTTGGTAGGGATAGATACACACAGATCAAAGTCTCAGCCTTACCACTAGAAGTTGGGTACCCTTACCACTAGAAGTTGGGTACATTTACCACTAGAGTTAGTAAGCTTGTTTTAAAGCATATACTGTAGATCAGATCATAATTTTTGTTGTTTTAACACTCGACAATCCAAACTCATGATTAAATCTCCAGTACATGCATAAAAATAAGTATGTTATCCCCTAAATACGACCATATAAATATACCCCCTTTTCGTCAATGGTGTATATTGTTCTGATGTGTTCATTATGATAAAATTAAACTACTTTCATTTAACAATAAACATGTACAGTCAATGCAGTCATTTTATATGAAAAAGCTAGAGAAGAATTTCATCTATATTCTGAAATCATTAAAATGACCAAATAACATTATTTTATAAACTATTTCTTTGTTTTAATTTGTTTTCAATATTCAAGCTTTCAGCAATTGTCTGTGGCACTCACCTTGATCATCAAATCCGTGAGTTAGCTCATGTCCCATCACAACACCTATTGCACCAAAGTTCAACGACCTGTAAAATACATCATACAATCTTATCCTGTAACAACAATATCTCAGCAAACAAGAAGTCTATTGGGCCTGTATTGTTCATCTGGCCATCTTTGAAAAGTGTTCCATTTTGGGTCGTCACATTAGGTTCAAGGTCATTTTATTTTACAAACATTGTTGGGCTTCAGTCTAGGTATATCTAAGTATGATAAAAAAGACTGAACTTTTTTCCTTGATCCAAGACCCTTGTAACTACCTAGATCTTAAGTCATCTAACATCTTGAATGACTTTGTTAATTTTCTATTCATGATAATATTGAATACTTATTAAAATCAAGAAGAAGGCTTTCAGGTCAATGCTGTCATGTCTTCTATAAAGTGAATACTTTGGTTCCAATTCTCTCATCTGGTTACTTAAAGATATGCAGGGTGATTGATAGGAAAAATTGTACGAGTTTGTAGGCAACAATAACAAGCCAATGGACAGGTTCATATTGATATACATATCTAGCTGACAAATTTTGGTGTCTTCAGGGCTCCTTCAGGTCATATTGTACAATAATTCAGGGTAGATAATGTTGTAATATATGACCTGAAGAGGCCCAATAAGGAGGATGTAACAGTTTAATGATGCAGTTGAATTCATAATATGGCTTTAAAATGTAAATAATACAAGATGTTTCTTGGAAGAAGGAATATTTACATAGGAAAGCTGGCATCATAGAACGGAGCCTGTAGCACACCGGCTGGGAGGACAATCTCATTCTTGGTGGGAGTGTAGTAAGCATTCACTGTAGGTGGTGTCATACTCCATCTGTAAGTCAAAATCAAAAACAGTTAAAAATAGGGGATGATATCTGCTAGCTTTCCCCACCAACAGTAAGTTCACTCCATTCTTTGTTTATTTCTTTAACAACTTTTGCTGCTATGTCTCAGTAAAAGCTGTCCTGGTAAACAACATACATTGTTATATAAAGCTTTAATTTCATTTTCTTTCCATTCTTATGTGGGGCCATAGTGCCCCAGTGGTTAAGGCCTGTTAGTGTCTTTTTCACTAGCCCTCCACCTTTTGGTCATGGGTTCAAGGGTTAATAATTTTCATCATACACTTTCTAAAAAAAAAAAAAAGTTTTTCACTTTATCTGTTTGATACATTGTATAAGAAACTAGAATCACTGAAAATGAAACTAAAACACAATATGGACAGTACAGTGCACATCTGATTATAAAACAATGTCAGAAATTGGTTGCCCCTTTAATTATCAGATGATCATCTTAGCAACTCTAACATTTTCCCATAGAAGAATGAAAATATTTTAATAATTTAAGTCAAGTCGTATAATAGAGACCTTGTCGCACAATGAAGTGTGTAGGAAATGTCAATAGATGAACAAGGGGAGGCAACTCAATAGGACATCAATTTTCTTTGTAGTAGACTAGAGACGTAGTAATGTGACAAGGGCTGTAGTTGGGGTAGGGATGCTGGCTGAGGACATAAACTGATTCCTGTTCATGTTGTAGGTCTCAGTCAGCTTCCAGTCAGATCAATTGTTCACAGGCATGATTATGTTATCAAATGTAAGAAAGTCACAGTAATTGACTTACATGTTAATTAACACAGTAAAAAACACATTATAATCTAATGGTACACACATCTACAGTCGCAAATAATTGATACTTAATTACAGGTAGGTAAGCATGACCTTACAGAATAAATGATACACTAGAAATGGTTATGTTTGACTTTAAATGAATATCTATATATATTTCTTCTTCAAGTGTTTATGGGTAAGTATTCTAATTTGTGCGACAAAGATTTTGCACTGATGAAATAATATGTTCATAAAAGAGTTAAGAATTCTCACTGATAAAATATCTTATTTTGTGAGATATTCACATTTCCTTGTTTCAATTTGTTGATCTTGTATTTCGAAAAACAACACCATCAACTACTTCTTGAAATAATTTCAAAACATGTTTCATTCCATACACAGAGGGAGATGTGTGTTTTAAGGTATTTTGTAAAGAAATTATACAGTTTCAGGTCATGAGTATAGACCCTCACAGTGTTTAAAACTCAACAGATCCATTATCACACATCATGTATATGTTCATACAAGTGAAAATCAGTTATAAATATAACAAATTTCTTTCATTACAAACCTGTTTTTCTTTGGAGTTTTCCGAAGTTCTTCAAAGTTCTTTCTCAGTTGAAAGCTAGTACTCCGGATATTGTTTCCAAAGTACTCATTTTTTCTTATCTCCAACTGAAATGATAAAGAAGGCTGCTTATAGTGGCCTTAATCTACTACAGTAAATCAAGGACTCAATCTCATTAGGGTCTCATTAGTTAGAAAACAGAATCAAACTGACTTTGATAACAAAGAGGCATTACATAAAACTTGATAACTAAAGTGTCCAGTTTCACCATCAATACAATCTATGATTCTGTATCATCTCTACCTCCAGTTTCACCATCAACACAATCTATGGCTCTGTATCATCTCTACTTCCAGTTTCACCATCAACACAATCTATGGTTCTGTATCATCTCTACCTCCAGTTTCACCATCAACACAATCTATGGCTCTGTATCATCTCTACCTCCAGTTTCACCATCAACACAATCTATGGTTCTGTATCATCTCTACCTCCAGTGTCACCATCAACACAATCTATGATTCTGTATCATCTCTACTTCCAGTTTCACCATCAACACAATCTATGGTTCTGTATCATCTCTACTTCCAGTTTCACCATCAACACAATCTATGGTTCTGTATCATCTCTACCTCCAGTTTCACCATCAACACAATCTATGGTTCTGTATCATCTCTACCTCCAGTGTCACCATCAACACAATCTATGGTTCTGTATCATCTCTACCTCCAGTGTCACCATCAACACAATCTATGGTTCTGTATCATCTCTACCTCCAGTGTCACCATCAACACAATCTATGGTTCTGTATCATCTCTACCTCCAGTTTCACCATCAACACAATCTATGGTTCTGTATCATCTCTACCTCCAGTGTCACCATCAACACAATCTATGGTTCTGTATCATCTCTACCTCCAGTGTCACCATCAACACAATCTATGGTTCTGCATCACCTCTACCTCCAGTTTCACCATCAACACAATCTATGGTTCTGCATCACCTCTACCTCCAGTGTCACCATCAACACAATCTATGGTTCTGTATCATCTCTACCTCCAGTGTCACCATCAACACAATCTATGGTTCTGTATCATCTCTACCTCCAGTGTCACCATCAACACAATCTATGGTTCTGTATCATCTCTACCTCCAGTGTCACCATCAACACAATCTATGGTTCTGTATCATCTCTACCTCCAATTTCACCATCAACACAATCTATGGTTCTGTATCATCTCTACCTCCAGTGTCACCATCAACACAATCTATGGTTCTGTATCATCTCTACCTCCAGTTTCACCATCAACACAATCTATGGTTCTGTATCATCTCTACCTCCAGTGTCACCATCAACACAATCTATGGTTCTGTATCATCTCTACCTCCAGTGTCACCATCAACACAATCTATGGTTCTGCATCATCTCTACCTCCAGTTTCACCATCAACACAATCTATGGTTCTGCATCACCTCTACCTCCAGTGTCACCATCAACACAATCTATGGTTCTGTATCATCTCTACCTCCAGTGTCACCATCAACACAATCTATGGTTCTGTATCATCTCTACCTCCAGTGTCACCATCAACACAATCTATGGTTCTGTATCATCTCTACCTCCAGTGTCACCATCAACACAATCTATGGTTCTGTATCATCTCTACCTCCAATTTCACCATCAACACAATCTATGGTTCTGCATCAAATTTTGTTAAAGTTCTAAATAAAGGGTTCCAGAATAGTATGCTGCTTTTGAATGGAAAAGCTGATGAACATGAACACTAAAGTTAGGGTAAAATAATGGATATTTATAGGAATAAGTACCGCTGACAATTAAAAACTAAAATTTTCAATGAAAAGGTTTACTTACGCGATTATATTCTTCGTTTAACTTGGAAACATTGAGGATGTATTCAGGAAAGCCTATCATATCAACCACAGCATTAGCCTGAAAAATGATGCATACACAAACCTGTTAAGGCCCAAACATTGTATACAACTGAAGGAAAGGCAGTTCTTTTATCTATTACTGTACATTTAAACATTCTATAGTGCAATAAAGAATGTACGCCAGCAAAACTGTGTCATTTACTGGCCATCAATACCGTGACAAAGATATTTCAAAGTGAACAGTTCAATACTTAGTTTTCATGAGAAATTTCATTTATTTGTTGTAATCAAACTTACTTACTCTTCATCCACAAATTATAAGACACAAAATGACAAACAGATAAACAATTAAATAGAAATTTACTGCCAATGGATTTTGTGAGTAAGATTTATCTCCAAAATATTTTTTTTTCATAAATAAATATATATAAAATATATACGAGGTATAAAGGATAGAGCCAATGTCACTGCTGCTATCAAAGGTCCTTCGCCTCTCGCCTGGATACCCGAGGGTATACAGGGGATTGATTAGAAGGGGCAAGCTTATATAAGGATGAATCAATCCCACAAAGACCTGATGAAGCCCAAATTTAATGGTAAAACTGGTTGACTGACTACCAAATGAAGAACCCACCTCCAATTTGTTCGATTGAGTTATTCTTATTGAAGTATTTTTAAGTGACATTGAAGATCCTGACCTTATCTACAGCTGCAGCCCTGGTTTCTTTGTCCATCCAGCTCAGTTTTGGTAAGTTGTTCTTGAAAGCTGTCTTTACTTCCTTTATCATAGCATCAGCCTGTGTCGACATAGGAACACCATCATTACATATTGTATATCAAGAGAATTTTGTGCTGTGCAAATTTTGTGAAAATCCATAAAAAGTGCCTTTTGCAATTTCTGCTTGTTTTATTTTTTGTGATTTCATTGTCTCAGAAATTCTGAAGGAGACTTACAAACTAGACTTGTGATATCAATTATATAGTGATTAAGGATTAAGTGTGACCTTTAACCTTGACCAATAACCATCAAAATATGACCATACTTTTACACAAAACATTTCAACTCACTTAAATTTGAATACTAGGTTATAACAAAGTATTCCCGTGGTCCCACCAAGTTCCAGATAACGAGATTTGACTGTTCTTTATGGTGTGAATATGAACTCAATTTGATGAGGGGTCCAGGAAATATCTTGAACAATATCTTTTTACTACAGAAACACATGCAATGTGATTAATACCTTTCTTCCATAACTAAGGGGACAAAATGTGGTGACACAAGGGGAGGAAAGTATATCTTATTACCAGGCAACATTCACATCCTCCTTAATCACTAGAGGAAGACTTACCTTTACTTTACTGTCACCGTTGAATGCTTCACGGATAAACATGGCACCCAATGCGAAGCCTAGCGTCTCATCCGTGTCTGATATACAATCTCTCCACAGCTCTTCTCCCCCTGTCGTACCTAGTTACCATAGAAATAGGAGCAGACTGAATTACTGTTACCATAGAAAAAGGAGCAGACTGAATTACTGTTACCTATGATTCCTCCACCCTATCCCTGTTACCATAGCAACATACACAGGAGAAAAATGAATTACTGTTTAACTATGATCTTCCCTAACAATAACCCATTATCATCATAACGGAGACAGGAGAAGACTGAATCACAGCTACACTACAATCTCCCCTTAATATCAAGCTAACATATAAACTGTTGCAATACAATCTCTCCTAATCTCCATAGCAACCAAGATATCTGACAGAGCCTTTAACAAGTCATTATATCACTTGATACCTGACAGGGCCTCAGACAATACTTTCTATGACTTGAGACCTGACAGTGCCTCAGACAATACTTTCTATGACTTGAGACCTGACAGGGCCTCAGACAAGACTTTCTATAACTTGAGACCTGACAGGGCCTCAAACAAGACTTTCTATAACTTGAGACCTGACAGGGCCTCAGACAAGACTTTCTATAACTTGATACCTGACAGGGCCTCAGACAATACTTTCTACATCTTGATACCTGACAGGGCCTCGGACAATACTTTCTACATCTTGATACCTGATAGGGCCTCGGACAAGATTTTCCGTGCTGTCCGGAAGGGCTTGGACAGGTATGATGTCATAGACTTGATGATGTGCCACATGAGATAGTTGTACATGGTCCTATAAAAGACAAAGAACATATGATCTACCAACAGCTTATGTATTGTGTAGAAGGGTTAACAATGATACTGATCAATACTTAATTCCAAAATAAATAGGAACAAGAGGCAAAATAGGCCTGTATCATTTAATCACCACTGGCTGTTATCTAATGTTTTTTCTATATATATATACATGACTCTAACTATGACTCAAGGTCATTTTGTTCTTGAAAATTTTATTATACATAACTTCATTGAAAAATTAATGTTAAATATAACATGTTTGAGCAATACAATAGCTCATGGGACCTTCCCTCTTTAAAATTTTCAGGTCTAGACTAGTTGACAATTATTACAGATCTAGACTAATTGATTTTAATTTCTGATCTAAACTGATTGATTTTAATTTCTGATCTAAACTGATTGATTTTAATTTCTGATCTTAACTGATTGATTTTAATTTCTGATCTAAATTTGATTCTAATCTAAACTAATTGATTTTAATTTCTGATCTAAACTAATTGATTTTAATTTCTGATCTAAACTAATTGATTTTAACTACATTAACTGATTCTAATTAAACTAATTGATTTTAATTTCTGATCTAAACTAATTGATTTTAATTTCTGATCTAAACTAATTGATTTTAAATCTTAACTGATTGATTTTAATTTCTGGGCTACATTAACTAATTCTAATTTCTGATCTAAACTAATTGATTTTAATTTCTGATCTAAACTAATTTTAATTTCTGATCTAAACTAATTGATTTTAATTTCTGGGCTACATTAACTAATTCTAATTTCTGATCTAAACTAATTGACTTTAATTTCTGATCTAAACTAATTGATTTTAATTTCTGATCTAAACTAATTGATTTTAATTTCTGATCTAAACTGATTGATTTTAATTTCTGGTCTAAACTAATTGACTTTAATTTCTGATCTAAACTAATTGATTTTAATTTCTGATCTAAACTAATTGATTTTAATTTCTGATCTAAACTGATTGATTTTAATTTCTGGGCTACATTAACTAATTCTAATTTCTGGTCTAAACTAATTGATTTAAATTTCTGATGTGGCGATACCAACCTCCTGCCTTTTTCTGTCTTCATTGTTTCATTAACAAGCTCAGCCATGTCTTGTAGATAATTTCCAGCATAAGAAACAATTTTCTCTGACGACGTCACTTGTATGTCAGCCATTGACAGACAGCTGTTGATGATATGGAGCCAGTTGATCTGAAACACAGTAATTACCTCTGCTAGAAGATGTTTTTTTCTTCAAAACTGTTATAACCTTATCAATATTCATGTTTAAAAAAATAAAAAAAAAAAAATAGGTTTTTTCGATATTTTAAGAAAATGGGTTAATAATGATATGATAAATAATCTTAAATATATGTTGTATCCTTATAAGGAAAGAGACATTATCTCAACAAAAATGTTTAATAGAAATCTGAAACTGATTTTGATGATTACTGGTTGTTTGTCATGAAACAGAGAGAGGTTTCAGTATAACAAATGCTTCAGTCAGAGAGTTTGTATAAATGCAGAGACTTTACTACCCATTGACATTGAGGAAGTGAAAAAAAAGTCTTACAAATGTGACGTTTTGTTGCAGTTGTTCAATTGTGATTTTGTGGTACATCTTTTCCTCGTCCCTGTGGTCTTCAGAAGGAATGGTGATCTGTAATGAACATATAATATACTTATCTAAGAATTCTTTTCTTGGTATTTATATTTTCAATAGTTCACTGACTTTCAAATTTGAAAAAAAAGCCTGCAAACTTACTTCTAGGTACATATGTGTGTACAGGTATGATCAAGGTTGTCGGTCAAATTGGCCGGCGACTGGCTCTTATGGAAAACCCTGTGTGTACAGGTATTTTGTACCATTAACTTCTAGGTACATATGTGTGTACAGGTATTTTGTATAACATACTTCTAGGTACATATACTTCTAGATATTATGTAAAGATTCTTTATACACAACCAGGAATTTTAATATGTGACGTTTTGGTGACCGGTACGATCCGTACGCTGTCACCTTCCTCAGACAAATGACCAGTAAAGCAGTAAAGCCCTTCCTAGACACACTTATAGCCAGAAGAGAAGACGGAACAGTGAAGTTATTGGTCTACAGGAAAAAGACCCACACAGACCAATACCTCAACTTTAAATCTCACCACCCTTTACATCAGAAGTTAGGGGTCGTACGCACGTTGCTCAATCAATGTGAGACCATAGTCACAGAACAACAGGACAAAATTCAAGAGCAGAGCCACATCATGAAAGCAATGAAAAATTGTGAATATCCGGAATGGATCCTTAAACGGGTACAAAAACAGTGTCAAAATAAAGAAAAAAACAGAAAAAGACCTATGAAAGAAAAAAACAAAACAAAAATCCAGGTGGTCATCCCATATATAAAGGGTATATCTGAAACCATCCAAAGGATATACCGCAACCATGGCATAGCAACAGCCATGAAGCCCCACAAGACGCTTCGAAATATCCTAGTCCACCCTAAGGATAAGATAACCAAAGAGAATGTCGCAGAATGCATATACAAGATCGGGTGCAAAAACTGTGACGCGTCATATATTGGAGAAACTGGAAGGCGATTCGGGGTTCGCCATGGGGAGCACCGGAAAGACACCGAAAGACAGGAGGAAAAGAAGTTCACCCGATCAGAGAGGAAGCAGTCGGAGTCCCAGATAAACAAATCGGCAATCACTGACCATGCCATGCAGGAAAACCATGTAATTGACTGGGAAAACTCAAAGGTGCTCGATAGGGAGAACCATCTTCTGAAGCGACAGATCAAAGAAGCCATCTGGATACGCCGCAGCGGGGCAGTTCTGAACCGAGATGAGGGGGTTCATAGACTCTCGCACATCTATGACCAAGTAATAAAATAAACGTAGCCGAATGGTTTTACTATTCGCTAACAGTCATTTCGGCACTTGTCAGCATGTCCGAAATTGACGCTATTCCATGACAACTCGTACACATATCACACCTTTGTGTACATGCTTTACTGGTCATTTGTCTGAGGAAGGTGACAGCGTACGGATCGTACTGGTCACCGAAACGTCACATATTAAAATTCCTGGTTGTGTATAAAGAATCTATACATAATCCTTACTTTCCAACCTGACGAAAATGTTCAGTATTACTTCTAGATACATATGTGTGCACAGGTATTTTGTACAACTTACTTCTAGGTACTTATGTGTGTACAGGTATTTTGTACAACTACCTCTAGGTACATATGTGTGTACAGGTATTTTGTACCATTAACTTCTAGGTACATATGTGTGTACAGCTATTTTGTACAACTTACTTCTAGGTACATATGTGTGTACAGGTATTTTGTACAACTTGTTTCTAGATACATATGTGTGTACAACTATTTTGTACAACTTACTTCTAGGTACTTATGTGTGTACAGGTATTTTGTACAACTTACTTCTAGATACATATGTGTGCACAGGTATTTTGTACAACTACCTCTAGGTACATATGTGTGTACAGGTATTTTGTACAACTTGTTTCTAGATACATATGTGTGTACAGGTATTTTGTACAATTTACTTCTAGATACATATGTGTGTACAGGTATTTTGTACAACTTACTTCTAGGTACTTATGTGTGTACAGGTATTTTGTACAACTTACTTCTAGGTACTTATGTGTGTACAGGTATTTTGTACAACTTACTTCTAGGTACATATGTGTGTAGAGGTATTTTGTACAATTTACTTCTAGGTACATATGTGTGTACAGGTATTTTGTACAACTTACTTCTAGGTACTTATGTGTGTACAGCTATTTTGTACAACTTACTTCTAGGTACTTATGTGTGTACAGCTATTTTGTACAACTTACTTCTAGGTACATATGTGTGTAGAGGTATTTTGTACAACTTACTTCTAGGTACATATGTGTGTACAGGTATTTTATATAACTAACTTCTAGGTAAATATGTGTGTACAGGTATTTTGTACAACATACTTCTAGGTACATATGTGTGTACAGGTATTTTATATAACTAACTTCTAGGTAAATATGTGTGTACAGGTATTTTGTACAACATACTTCTAGGTACATATGTGTGTACAGGTATTTTATATAACTAACTTCTAGGTAAATATGTGTGTACAGGTATTTTGTACAACATACTTCTAGGTACATATGTGTGTACAGGTATTTTGTACAACATACTTCTAGGTACATATGTGTGTACAGGTATTTTATATAACTAACTTCTAGGTAAATATGTGTGTACAGGTATTTTGTACAACTAACTTCTAGATACATATGTGTGTAGAGGTATTTTGTACAACTTGTTTCAAGGTACTTCTGAGAACTTACAATTTCAGTAGATTTGTCTGGGATTACTTACATTGGCTAACTTTGTTTCAAACATGATAACATCAATCATCTGAGAACGTGTGCTGTTTTCTTCTCCTCCCAGTAACATTCCAACCTCTGTCATATACTCCAGGTAAGCAATTAATACCTGCACGAAAACATCCACTTAGTCATAAATTACTGCAACTTACATACAGCTTTAACTCAAATTACTGAAACTTACATACTCCTTTAACTCGAATATATTTATCTTACAATCAGCAACTACTGGTGTAAAAACACTGTGTCAGGCACAAAATGTATAAAACTTTTATATTCAAGATAATTTCACACAAGTATATACTTCTGTACCACACACTTGTGTAGAACTGTAGCCTCCAAGTCAATTTTATAGCGTTAACAGTAATGTTACTTACAGGATCCAAACACTTGTCATATCTGAGTAAATCTGATGATATTGCGACTAACGTTACTTACAGGATCCAAACACTCGTCACATTTGAGTAAATGTAATGATATTTCAACTAACATTATTACTGAATCCAAACACTCGTCACATCAGAGTAAATCTGATGGTGTTAATAGTTTGGCGTACTTACTGGATCCAAACACTCATAACACTCAAGTAAATCTAAGAGTAACATTACTTACTGGATCCAAACACTCATCACACCCCATTAAATCTAAAAGCGTTAATAGTTGGGCGTACTTACTGGATCTTGGGTGATGCTTTTGTTAAGGTAGTAGTCTCGTTGTGGTAAACCTAACCCAGACTGGTCCACCTGTAAATAGATCAGTTGTTAATGATTTTATTGTCAGAGTTAAAAAAACCTAAGCAGAAATAAAATGCACTAATGCTATAACACATCAATATTCATCCTAAATAAACATCTATCATAACTGTGACAACCTTTAGTATATTTTTTGACGAGCTGCGGTCATCCTCTCCAACCCACACAGCAAACAAGGTGGACACACCATACTTCTTACTCCTCTCTAGCAGGTCCTGGAGGTCGAAGTTGGAGTCGATTACCGAAATAGACCAGTCAGGTACTTCATCCTGTAAAAATAAAAACACCGGATACAAATCATCTACATACCACAGAGAGGATGGTACTTCTGTATAGTCATTGATAGTTATTGTATTTATCTGGAAATGAACCTGTTGAAAGATACATTAAACCCACTTACTCGGAAGTCACCATTAGTGTAGCATTTGTCTATTATATCGCCTATTTATTTAATTTTCACCAGGTTGCCAAGCTCTTTAAGAAGAGCTCCAATATTGCTAACTGTCAATTTTATTAAATTTTCACAGGTTTCCAAGCTCCTTGAGAGAACAGCACCAATATTTCTAATGGCCTATTTTATCTAACTTCCTTGTCTTGGCATGGTTAGCTTTCTACTGACTTCATGCTTGATGCAGCAAATGTGATAAGTCATTTTTGATTTAATTAGTCAAAGCAATCCATAGGCTACACACAAAGTACACAAAATCATGCTTAGAATGGTTCTTTCTTCCTACATCAATCTATTACTAACTTCTGTCCGTGATGCAGCGATGGATCTTTATAAAAATCTGTGTGCAGTTTGTTAGGCCGTGTAAAAAGGGCCTGTTTCCAGTAATGTTAATTCTCCATAGGAGCCTGCCCCCGTAAAATTTCTTATCTAGCTCAACTACTGTTTTTTACTTTTCCGAAAAATAATTTTACACCTTTCCGACACCCAGATTTCATAACTTCAGTGAAAATGTATTTTTATAAAGTTGTCAATTTCAGCATCAAATACATAAGTTCGTAAATAAAAGAAGGTTATCTCGAAATTGTAATTTAGTAACATAGTATAAATTTCTCTTGATAAATATTTCCAAAACATCGTGTTTATTCATAAAACATAAAAAAAATATATTCTCGGATGAAAATGCACTTGCAGAGACACAATTATGAAGAAAAATGCCATAAATTTGCAATTTTCTACCGTTATATAGTTTTTGATGCAAATTTCCATCAGAAAATCGGATAGAGCTTTACTTGTTTCATATGTGTACCAAAACTCAGCTAATTCCATGTGGTGGAACGTTCTCATATCGCCGCCTGAATGTGGTTGTAAATTGAAAGAAAAGGGGAAATGAGTAACAACCTTGTCTGAAACCCTATAGCTTATTATATACAAACTTTTATATTGAATATCAGAGCGGATATTTTCATGACAGTTTTATGATGTGTAAAAAAAAAAAAAAAAAAAGTACTGTTTCCCCGTCTCGATCTTGATTACTCGAGAACCATTACGTGCGGAACGTATCAGATATCTCTGGCTTCTGGTTACATCGCCGAACATTTAAGTGATGACGGCGACTATGAGGTGTGGCTTTACCAACACTCCCCAGACCTTCTCCGATGTCAAATACATTCTCGACACAAAAGCCAAACGAAATATAACGTTTGGATACGGTTCACCGTTTCACCCGATGTTGAGGCTCCAAAAAAGGACTACTACTGCCAGTGCCCAGTTGGAGAGAGAACAATGGGAATGTGTGCACACATCTCCAGTATCTTGTACTACCTTGGGTATTACAGGACGCTGGAAAACCCTCGACCATTACAACCACAGGTAAAGAAATTCCGACAAATCTTGAAATAGTTTTCCATGCGGCAACAGAGTGCATATGTCGAAAGTATGTTTGGGGCTTGATATGAAAGATCCCCGTTACCATGTGACTAAGCAAACTTATAAATATAGGTATTATACAATCGCCCGTAGCTATGAACACTCCCGTAAATGCGAAAACCAACCAAAATCATAAGGAACACGTTTTGTTTGTTGTTCTGTCTATTTGTCAGCCAATGTCTTCAACCACGGGGACTTGCGAAGTAGCCATCTTGGATTTTTTATGAAAAAGTGTTTCTCTCACTTTTTTTCATATCTGTGAATATATTCTCAACATACCGAGCATATACTCTCGTTTTTTTGTTAATTATCTAAAGAAAGTCGAAAATCAGCAATTCAACCATAGGCTAATTCAACCCAACATTTGAAAATGTTCCACCACTTACATTTTGATGATTTTTCCTCTCATCAATAGCATATTACGTACTATTTAATAGGATAAAAATTGGTTTGCATCCAACGCCCATAAAAGGGTGTATTCTCTAAAAAATACAGTTTTTGTGTCTAAAATGTTATCATCGAAAATGGCATTTTTGAGATTGTTTCTTCCATAAAACAGCCAAATGGCGCAATGGAAACATGATTTTTTGTCACAATCATGCCATGAATGTATTCTTTACAGTGACTATCATTTGATTAGATTTTCATTAATATTTTACATAACATGCACATTTTATCAACACTTAGACAGCTTCTGAAAGGTACAACTTTGAGGAGCCATAAAAAACAAACCAAGTGACCTAAATCTTTATACTTTATAGATTTGTGACCACAACGGCATGGGCAATGCACCACCAACAGGAAATTTGAATCAGAGAAGGGGTCGTTTTGGAAACTGGCCCTTTGTATTAATTTTACTGTCTGGTAACATTTTGGTCCCTCAGGTTTGTATCATCAATAAAGAAGTGTATACTATATTGCCTAATGAAATTGCAGGATAAAGCCTTCGCCAGTGTTGACTTGCGTTTCTTTATGATCTGTCATCTACTTAAGGAATGTCCTATTGATATTACAGTTTTTCAGGAGTTATTGGATGGGATTCTGTGACAGATGTCTCCTTTACATTGTAAAATGTACTCAAATTTATACCCACAATATTAGGTCTAGACATACTGATCTTCTCCAATACAGGATTTATTTCTTCATAAGATTGTTGACATGTCACAAATCTAAGTGATCCGTCATCAGAACAACAATAACAGATTATTACATCATCAAACTGGGTAAAAACAACACAGAATATATTGTAGAGGATCCGACCAAGTTGTCTTCACTCAAGGAACCTTATTCTACTTTATCTAGTGAAGGCTTAGTAAAGTTCTTGTATCCATGTCTGTTCCAGGACGTTTTGCACTAAAACTTACCAATTAAATGACATTGTGCCTACAAACCCCAATGTTGATTTATCTCAATGACTACAACATCTCAGTTGTTAACCATTTTACTTTGACTTAGCAGTCAAACCATTAATCCAACAGTTTGATACCCAATATTTTGTCTTTATGGCATCTTTGGTTTTAAGAACTAGTCTAACACCCTCCCTCTGTATAGACCTACTACTACCTGTTATAATTGATTCTATGATCAGATCGTCCTTCTGATTTACCATAACTTCATTCTGATCAGCTGGGTACCACCTCTGTGTAATATACATTCTAAGAAAGTCAAATAAGCTGGCTCATGAAGAGTTGAATATTATGTTCTCAGAATTTGTTTGAGTGTGATTTTTCACAAGAAGGGTTTTTACTGGCTCTGACAGAGGAAACAGAATAAGACATCTACTCTGAGGTGAAATTTCCTACAAAATCTTTTGAAGTCCAAGAAAGCACAGAAAAAGCTATAAGAATGAAAATGGAAAAAAATAACACTATCAATAAGGATTACTTTGAGTTAACTGACAGAGGTATCAATAAGGATCACTTTGAGTTAACTGACAGAGGTGTCAATAAGGATTACTTTGAGTTAACTGACAGAGGTATCAATAAGGATTACTTTGAGTTAACTGACAGACGTATCAATAAGGATTACTTTGAGTTAACTGACAGTTAACTGACAGAAGTATCAATAAGGATTACTCTAAGTAAACTGACAGACGTAACAATAAGGATTACTTTGAGTTAACTGACAGACGTATCAATAAGGATTACTTTGAGTTAACTGACAGTTAACTGACAGAAGTATCAATAAGGATTACTCTAAGTAAACTGACAGACGTAACAATAAGGATTACTTTGAGTTAACTGACAGACGTATCAATAAGGATTACTTTGAGTTAACTGACAGACGTATCAATAAGGATTACTTTGAGTTAACTGACAGTTAACTGACAGAAGTATCAATAAGGATTACTCTAAGTAAACTGACAGACGTAACAATAAGTATTACTCTGAGTAAACTGACAGAAGTATCAAACTGACAGAGGTATCAATAAGAAATACTTTGAGTTAACTGACAGACGTATCAATAAGGATTACTTTGAGTTAACTGACAGACGTATCAATAAGGATTACTTTGAGTAAACTGACAGAAGTATCAATAAGGATTACTTTGAGTTAACTGACAGAGGTATCAATAAGGATTAATTTGAGTTAACTGACAGAAGTAACAATAAGGATTACTTTGAGTAAACTGACAGAAGTATCAATAAGGATTAATTTGAGTTAACTGACAGAAGTAACAATAAGGATTAATTTGAGTTAACTGACAGAAGTAACAATAAGGATTACTTTGAGTAAACTGACAGAAGTAACAATAAGGATTACTTTGAGTAAGTCCAGTAAAGGTTTGGCACCAAGGTCCTCTATCGTCTTGTTCTCATCCATACAAGATTTGTAGTAGGTCTGAGCCTTCCACTCCGACAAATTCACAGAAGCATTCACTGGTTGTTCTGAAATAATAATAATGACACAAATATCAACAAGGCTACCTTAATGATTCAATGTCACAAAGGTAAAGTTACCTTTTTCCATGCGAGTCTTTATCATTTTCTGAAAATACAGACTAGAACTTTGTTGATAAACTAATATAACAACATGTTAATTACTTAGCTACATTGTAATTGAACAGGGTATTTTGAACTAAAATCAGACTTTATTTAAACCAATTCATATTTTAACTTTCTAGATCTCTCTAGGTAAATAATGCTAGATATATCATTATTAACCTATAACATACTTTATCAGTATGATAATGTCTATGATATCATTACATACCTATTGCATGCTTCATAATGACTTGGTTTGCTTGCCACAGGACGCTGAACATGTTGAAGCGAGAGTGCCCTGAGGGAATAGGATGCGATTTGATCCAGCCTCCACACGCATACTGGTAGAAGTCCTCACATGGATCAACACTTCTGTCCATGGCAGTGAGCAGGGCACTTGACACCTGGACACAGCTTGGTTCTAAACAAACCGCTGTTCACAAGAAAATGTTAAAATAATTATCAACGTACAATCTAGAAAATTGTTATCAAAAACTCACTCACTTCCTTTATTTGATAAAACTTTTTTTTTTTCTACATATTTTGACTATGTCTGTCAATCCAGTGAATCATGTCAATTGGTGTTTGTCAAATTTACTTCAGAATGTCAATGTAAAGACAAAAGGTCCCATGGGGCCTGTATTGCTTACCTAGTCTGATTGGGTCACAAGTGTTTATGATTTTAAATGTTAATCTTATTTTGCCTATGGGTGTTCCATCCCTATAGATCTGATAAAATAAAATTTAACTTAATTATTTTACAACAATAGGGATATAATTTCTTTCCAATTTACAATAACCACTGTGTTTGACTTGGATGGAAAGATGTGAGGGGATTAACAGTGGAAAGAAACTGGAGTGTGTTGGGAAGGTGACAGCATACCTTTTTCACGTCTGTTCTAAGATTCAAATACAGACGTCTAGGTGTAAGGTGAGTACATTACCAAATATGGTCTGAACCGGATATTGTGTGTCTGTTGTTTACTCACCTGAATTTTATCTATAACAGTTAATGGACTGAACATGTATATCCGTGCAGATAAATGTTTCTTCTCGAATAATATGTTGTGATATGGTGTTTCCAACAAAATTAAATGTGAAAGTTTTTCTTGCTCTGTATTTTAAATCATTACAAACAATTTCTTGATTTATATCTTCCATTAGTTACCTTCTCTATGTGGAATATATTACCTACTCTATGTGGAATATATTACCTTCTCTATGTGGAATATATTACCTACTCTATGTGGAATATATTACCTTCTCTATGTAGAATATATTACCTTCTCTATGTGGAATATATTACCTACTCTATGTGGAATATATTACCTACTCTATGTGGAATATATTACCTTCTCTATGTGGAATATATTACCTACTCTATGTGGAATATATGTAGAATATATTACCTACTCTATGTGGAATATATTACCTACTCTATGTGGAATATATATATTACCTACTCTATGTGGATATATATTACCTACTCTATGTGGAATATATTACCTTCTCTATGTGGAATATATTACCTTCTCTATGTGGAATATATTACCTACTCTATGTGGAATATATTACCTACTCTATGTGGAATATATTACCTACTCTATGTGGAATATATATATTACCTACTCTATGTGGAATATATTACCTACTCTATGCAGAATATATTACCTACTCTATGCGGAATATATTACCTACTCTGTGTGGAATATATTACCTACAATATGTGGAATATATTACCTACTCTGTGCGGAATATATTACCTAATCTATGTGGAATATATTACCTACTCTATGAGGAATATATTACCTAATCTATGTGGAATATATTACCTAATCTATGTGGAATATATTACCTTCTCTATGTAGAATATATTACCTACTCTATGTGGAATATATTACCTACTCTATGTGGAATATATATATTACCTACTCTATGTGGAATATATTACCTACTCTATGCAGAATATATTACCTACTCTATGCGGAATATATTACCTACTCTGTGTGGAATATATTACCTACAATATGTGGAATATATTACCTACTCTGTGCGGAATATATTACCTAATCTATGTGAAATATATTACCTAATCTATGTGGAATATATTACCTAATCTATGTGGAATATATTACCTAATCTATGTGGAATATATTACCTAATCTATGTGGAATATATTACCTACTCTATGTGGAATATATTACCTTCTCTATGTGGAATATATATATTACCTACTCTATGTGGAATATATTACCTACTCTATGCAGAATATATTACCTACTCTATGCGGAATATATTACCTACTCTGTGTGGAATATATTACCTACAATATGTGGAATATATTACCTACTCTGTGCGGAATATATTACCTACTCTGTGCGGAATATATTACCTAATCTATGTGGAATATATTACCTAATCTATGTGGAATATATTACCTACTCTGTGCGGAATATATTACCTACTCTGTGCAGAATATATTACCTAATCTATGTGGAATATATTACCTAATCTATGTGGAATATATTACCTTCTCTATGTGGAATATATTACCTAATCTATGTGGAATATATTACCTACTCTATGTGAAATATATTACCTAATCTATGATAATAAATGAATTACAATTTAATTATAGAAAGATTTAATGAATTAATTAATTAATAAATGACAAATTAATTATAGAAAGATTTAATGAATGAATTAATTAATTAATGACAAATTAATTATAGAAAGATTTAATGAATGAATGAATGAATGACACTATAACTATTGATAGATCTAATGAATAAAGGGATGAATGTCATCACAGTGTTGAATGAGAGCCCCTTGCATGAGGACATATTTGTACACATGCTAAATCCAGGGTATCAACCTTGGCAGTAGTCTATATGTTTACATGTTTTAGGCCAATAAAATATTGAGTTAAAATAAATACCTGGATTTACCCCAAATGAGGCCTCATGTAACCGGTTATGTTCAAAGTAGTTTTGTCACGATTCCAACAATTCAGACAATGAGGGACATCCCTAGTAGCGATTATATAACATAAATTCCGTAAGTGTGTAATAATAAACGTGTTTATTGTGTACTCACCTGAATTCTGTAGGTAGGTAATATGGGCTTGTTTTGAGGCCAGAACGATGGCCAGGATGATAACTGAAACTGACAACACTATGGTGAGAATGAAGAGGACCCTCTCCAAGATGGATTTTTTCTGCCATAATGATAGACCTCCCTTGAAGACGACGCCTGCGTTGAAGTCGATGGCTGGAGGATTGCTGCTGTTAGATATGTCATCCTCCTCAAAATTTGTCCTTTTGTACCCTTGGGTGCTCATCTGTTTTATCATAGAGAGCAAAATTGAAAAAACATGACAACTTGATTCAATTTGAATTACACAGTATATTTTTCGAAAAAACCTCATGATCAAACTTACATGTACTTCAACTTTGACTGGACTTTAATTTTTTTGGGAAGTTTAAAAAGTGTTTTAATTATTTTTAACATGCATTAAACCAAGGAGACAAATAAGTACAAAATTTCTGACTGTAATTAGGAGCTAACTTCAGGATAATTATCAAGTATTTATCTGCATTATATTTTAAACTGTGATGGATGGAAAGGGACGAGAAATCGACCAGTAAGTACAATATATACCCTTAAGTTAGATCTTAACTTGAATATCATCTTCCTGGAAATATAATTGTGTACAATGGCCTTTTCTGCTCGATAGTATTTACACTGAAATTATCAATTATTCTCACCTGAAAGAGTTTCAACTTTCCATCACCTGATTTATTTTCTATTAACACATATTGTTGATAACCTGAAGATGTCACATATGATATTAATATGATTCTCACCTGAGCGTTATATTCAGTTGGGTCCATGATTTGGAGTATGAATAAATACACACAGTCCGTGATCCTTAAACACCTGATAGTTTAGTAAGTTAGTATATGGATCTGGGGAGACACCTGAGAGTCCTTGTTAACAGCCTCTGTGATTCTGTTGTATACGCTATTTCACAATACCCTTACCATGAGCAAACTGTCCCCAATTCATGACATAAAACAAAATTTACGCAGTATTTGTAACCACTTGAGCCTTGTCATTGCTGTAAGACACAAACCGGGGGGGTTGGGTTGGTAGTTGTGACACTGGATAAATAAATCACCTTACAGGATGTAAAATATGATACCCTATGATTCACACAGGTTTGGTATACCTTTACAAATTATATCCTGTATCGCTCACCTGATTTGGTGTGCTGAAATTGATAAGATTTAAACTAAAGGAAAAGTATTCAAAACACTTGTATCTCCTGTAGTAGATTTGCCCCTCCCCCCAAATGGGGTTAGATGAACCAAGTTCTCTTCACTAGTTAGGTCCAACAGAAGATTTCAAAGAATTTGCTCTATTTCCACTACTTGGCCCCGCCCCTCTAGCCCAAGGAGGTTGGAAGCCACTGTTAATACAAAATTCATCACCTACACCCAAGCATGTCTCAGACCAAACTGCATCACAGCTTTTATGCTTATCAGAACTCTTCCAACAGACCAAGGAGCATAATAATCAGAATCCTTACAATTTATGCTCAATGTCACTTAGCTCAACTAGTACATCTCTCCTTATACCCAGATAACTTCCTAAACATATGTCAAGTACATTTACCACACAAATCACTTCTACACTAATAAATAGAAACAAAATTTAAAGACAAAGAAAATGCTGGGATGCAGGTAAATGTCATCCTTCAGAAGTATTTAGGGGTAGAGGCTACAATGTAGATCCTGTAAAACTTGAGAGAACATGAATCAAAAGTTCATGGCCATTTTTCATGCGTGTAGGTATATTGCTTATGTTATGTCATTATCTGAAAGTAAATGTGATACTCATGCACAGATCTCCGTACTTATAACAACAGGAGCTATTTAATTGTCCTACAGAAGCCTTCACATGATGACACAGGATTGACTGGTTGTTTAGTAATGATGTTGTAAACCATCATGTGACATCTCCAGATACTCCAGGTATTATCAATAAGGGTTAGTCACGATACAAGATGAGCCTATTATAATGACTAAGAAATAAAGGGCCCAATAGGCCTGCATCACTCACCTGGTATTCAATGCTTTTCAAAAATACCTCAACATTTCACTTAATTGACATTCCAAGTCTTTGTTTTACCGAGAAGAAGTTGTTTGAATGTTTTAATTTGATCCCTGTGACTTTGAATATATAGCTCAATTCATTTCACAAATTTCGTAATCCGAAGAACCTCTCAGCCAAATATCATGATCCTGCACCTTTTGGCTAATCAAAATAAGTAGTTTGAAATTTTGAAAATTTTGACCCAAGACTCCACTGTAACCTAGAATAAGGGTCAAGGTCACTTCATTTCACAAATATTGTCCTCGGACTCTATCCTGAATACCAGTCAGTCAAATGTCATAATTCTTGGGTTTTGAGTTTATCAAATGAACTGTTCTTTAACAGTTTTAAAAAAATTGATCCCTGTGAGCTTGAATATGATTAACTGGCCAAATATTATTAATCTAGGCCTTGTAGTTAGTCAGAAGGACTTGTTTGAATGTTTTAACAAATATGTCTCCTGTAACCTTAACCAACATCATTTCTAAAATACCTGGTACCTGATTTCTTGGAAATATTGATTCAATAAACTTCAATCAGCTTCAAAATTCAACATACCCATTACTGAGATCCACTCAAACTTGAAATGTGACAACTTATCAAATCCCAATACCTCAAATATGTTCTAAATATAGGCATGAATATGTTAAGTGTTGGACCTCAGCTTCTGATTTACATCATCACATATTCAATGTGTCACATGAAAGGTACATTTAGGACAAAAGGTTCATTTCTTGATAGTCTCTATTTTTTTAAAGATCCTCATTTGAATGTCTAAATACATGTATTTATCACCTGAAAGAAACAAAAAACACAATACACAATCCAAGCAGCAGTAAAATGTACTGAAATAAACTGGAAAAAAACCCGTTTCTCCTGTCGGGCTCATCTAGAACTCACTATCTATTTATATACATTACATAGATACATACATTGTTACATATTGAAAATACCGACTAAATCCAGTTGAAATATTGCCATGCTATGTATACAAGTTTTGGCTCTGTGGATCAGACCCAGTTGTAAATTGATGTTAGCTAAATCTATATAGAATTTCTACAAAATAAATATTTTAAGCTGGTTTTGTGTCGGATTGAGCCATACAATTTTCTATAAGGACATGTCATTATTGAATACTTATGTATAACTAAATTAATTTCTAAAACGAAAATTTTTATTTGTGCAGAATTTCCCTCTGATAGACTAATATTGTCTAAAACAAGATTGAGTTCAAAAGTGCTAAGGTCTCTGTGTTCATAGTATGGTACTGTACTTTTAGAAATTATGTGGGTGCACATTTTCTGGATTGAAATTGAAAAACAAAACGACCAAAAAAAAAGGGAGATCATTATTGCTATCAATTTATTCATAAATTTTTAAATACTGGTATGCTTTTCTGATGCTTTCTCTGTCATCATTCTATCTTTAAAGTTTATTATCCTAACTGATTTGCATAATTATATGCATATCGTTATTCAAATTTTTGTATTGGATGATACATTCTGAGAGTAATAAATGATTAAATTTTGGTTATTGAATAAAATATGCAAATCAGGATCATCTTACACATTGGATAAGGAGTGAAGTAATGTGAATAGAGAAAATGAGTAAGGGAGATAACTCACAACCAACCATTGTCCAATAGCTTTGTAAAACAAGACTTACAGATGTTGATGTGGCACCATAATGGTGCCTCCATAATGACTCTTGATCTTCAGGTAACAATTCAGCCATGTTAAACTTAACACTGATCAGGTTAACCTTCCATTTCTCACCTCTACACCAGAAACTTTAGACTTGTGAAAGATTTGGTCTGTGTAATGATTGTTATAGACTGTACATATAGCCATAATTATCTACAAGTACATCATGTTATGGAGGGTAAGATAAAAATCTATTGTACAGATATTACCTATTATTATGTTAATGGAGAACTTTTAATAGTATATACATCCATATGAAGTAAATGTATGATAGACCATTATAGAATAGCCTGTGGCTAATTTGTACCCTAGATCATAATGTTATAGACTTATCCACCAGGCTATGTTGTTACATAGATACAATATATATACACTATTTCACACCCAAATTTTACAAAAACAAGTAATCCCTGAGATTTGTTTAAATTATAGAAATGTTTTACTCTAAAAGAATTAGGTATTTTGGACCAATGTGGTTTGCTAGAAACAAGTTTCATATTAGATAACTAATTACTTTGTTCCCCTGGGTTTAGTTATAAATAATATGTTGTTGTGTAGATAACTAATTACTGTGTTCCCCTGGGTTTAGTTATAAATAATATGTTGTTGTGTAGATATCTAATTACTTTGTTCCCCTGGGTTTAGTTATAAATAATATGTTGTTGTGTAGATAACTAATTACTTCGTTCCCCTGAGGTTAGTTATAAATAATATGTTGTTGTGTAGATAACTAATTACTTTGTTCCCCTGGGTTTAGTTATAAATAATATGTTGTTGTGTAGATAACTAATTACTTTGTTCCCCTGGGTTTAGTTATAAATAATATGTTGTTGTGTAGATAACTAATTACTGCGTTCCCCTGAGGTTTGTTATAAACATGTTTTACTGTAGAGAACTAATTATTTAGGTCCCCTGAGGTTTGTTATAAATATTTTTACTGTAGAGAACTAATTTCTGAGGTCCCCTGAGGTTTGTTATAAATATGTTTTACTGTAGAGAACTAATTATTTGGGTCCCCTGAGGTTTGTTATAAATATGTTTTACTGTAGAGAACTAATTATTTAGGTCCCCTGAGGTTTGTTATAAATATGTTTTACTGTAGAGAACTAATTACTTGGGTCCCCTGAGGTTTGTTATAAACATGTTTTACTGTAGAGAACTAATTACTTGGGTCCCCTGAGGTTTGTTATAAATATGTTTTACTGTAGAGAACTAATTTCTTGGGTTCCCTGAGTTTTGTTATATACAGGTTTTACTGTAGAGAACTAATTTCTTAGGTCCCCTGAGGTTTGTTATAAACATGTTTAACTGTAGAGTACTAATTACTCAGATACCCTGGGTTTTGTTTAAACATGTTTCACAGTGGAAAACTAATTACATAAAATGCTCTGACTAAATGTTCTTAAAAGTTATTTCTAATCACCGAAGGATGCTTCAGATCAAGATTGAACAGAATCCAAACATCCCTATAGAAGATGAAGGATTTTTAATGTATTTGCTTTATTTCCTGTATTGGGCTGCACCCCTCCCGCCCCATGGGGCCAAGACCCATTGTTTTTGAAAAATTGTTTCTTTTTCATACAAAGATGCTTCATACCACATTTTGACACAATTCTAGCATTCTTTCAAAAGAAGAGCTTTAAAGAATTTACATCATTCTCCTAGGCAATGGGGGTTGGGAGGAGGTGTGTGACCCCTCGTTTACACAATGTTGAATTATCTTCACCGAGAGATGCTTCAGAACAAATTGGGATAAAATTTAGATTAGGGGACCTGTCTAAGG